GAAAACAAAAAAAACGAAGCACAACAAGAACACCGGACCAGTTCACAAGAGAACGAGGGAAGAAAACGATAGTCCTGCTCTCGGTAGACTACCTCCCTGTCCAACAAGCAACTATAATCTAACTACAAACTGAATGGACTCGTCAGAAGAGATCGTCCAACAATCGAAGCCACGCAAGCATCGAAAGGTCCTCCTGGTCACGACCCTACGAGAGGTCGAGCTGGCCGTAGACGTTCCTTGCCTAGCACTGAAGAACTACGGAGATCCTACCAGCAACTCGGATATCTCCTTAGACTCTACTTCGACCCTACGAGACAACGAAGAAGCCATAAGGCCTACCGTCAGACATGTATTAAACTCGAGGTCAGCAGAATTTCCCACCATGTGCAACCGCGTCATGTAGCACAAAGACTCCCCCCTTTCTATAGTCTAGTACAAACCATCCCCCCGCTCCGATTCCCCTCAAAGGTCTTCTGCAATGTATCTTAGTAGACGTCGACGGGTTCCGGTATAACATCACCCTCCATTCCACAACGTATGAGGGTCATCCTTGACGGGATTACTTTGTCAGCGGAAAGGTTTATTTTCCGTCCTCTCTTCTGCTGCGACTTGGTCTTACTTAGAGCTGTGGAGTGACAGTAAGTATCCATACAGATCCACCGTACTCGGAACGGGCACTCGGTGGGGAAAGACGAACATCGTTTCGTTAGCGTTAGTGACCCAAAGTGACCCTCGTCAAATATGGCTCAAAACTTAGACGGAAACGGGAGAACCACGACACTTCTCAGCAGGCCGACGCTGAAGAACTACCGTACCAACACCGTGCAGTGCGGAACAACGGCTATACGCGGGAGCACCATGAACTATATGAACAAATCCCCTTCCCCCTTGAACGGTACATTTGCCCCTGTACGGTCCAAACGTTCCTTCTTCCCGTAGGAAGCGGAACGAGAGAAGTGAGAGTTTGCACAACAGCACCTATATGGCAGGGGTCAAGTCAAAGTGCGTTCTGAACTAAGAAGAGAAGCGCTTCACTCCCTCTAACGGAACTTACGTTCCAGAAGAAAGACAAGGGAGAACCCAGGAGGTTCAACCCTGATAGGTAGGCAAACCACAAACGGCAGAACCGATCTGGGCTTACGGCGCCCTAAGACCAAAGATTCGTCGCTACGCCAATTGTTACCTTTAACGGTACTGATCGAAAGATACCATATTCACAGGTCCGAACGCCTTTATGTCTCCGTTACGGTGCGACAAAGACGCGACTCTTTTCGGTAAATGGCCTCTACGAATTTAGAATAACGCCTCAAATAAAGAAGAATTTCCCTGCATTCCTTATCGCCAGCTACCTCGAGTTCGCGCCGGTTCCGACCCCTGAACAAAACATACAACAGCCGGTGTTCGCCAGTGGTCACCCACCTGACTACTAATCTGCCTCTCATTGGCTTGACTCTGGGAGAGCGGACGGGATCCCGTATTTTCCAATGGATATGGTCGTATGTGACAGGTGAGGCCTCTGTCTCCGATTATAACAGCAACATCACGAAGTTGTAAAAGGGGCAAAAAAGAAGATACAAAAACATACAACAGCCGGTGTTCGCTGGTGGTCACCCACCCAACTACTAATCTGCCGGTTAGTGGCTTATCTATGGGGGAGCAGACGGGACCCCGAGTTTTCCACTACCTATGGTCGTATGTGATGGGATACGGAAGCAAGTCAGTCTATAACGGAGAGAGGAAACGGGAGGAGGGCCCTTTGGCTTTTGGTGTTGATGAGAAAACGGGAAGACCGTGGCTCGTACAATGCATTCCATTGCGTCCGTGCTCAGTCTTCCTGTTTACTACCTATGTACTCTTGATCAGCTGTGCAGTTGAATTTTTTAGTCCGTTATGCTTTATCGGAGCCGCATATGAGGTTGGTGTGTATTCTCTCACTTGCTTGGGCACGTGTTGAAGGCCAGTCACTGGATTATTAACGTTAGTGGCTCAAAGGCGTAGCAATTTGTTGCAGGCATTTCCCAGGCAAGAAAACTGAAGGTAGTAGGTCTAGCCTGGCTCCCTGTTGGGATTCCACGGGAAAGTACATACGGCCGAGATTTGCTGATGCTGTGCGACCGCACTGACGGCGCTCAGTTCGTTATATGAGGAACAGTATGGTGGACTGGCGATGCCCACAAGTAGCCAGTTGCGTCTGCGTCTTGCGTCTCGAGTACCTGTAAGGGCCATTCCGCGGTTGTTATTTGTCTCGTCATTTTTCGTCCATGGTCATGATGCGTCCAGAGACCTAATAGCATTGGTAGCTGTCTCTGTTTTGTACTGATATCGGTTCATGATACGGAGTAGAGACCAGGGATGAGGCTCTAGTAGTGGTTAGAAAGTGATTTGGTGATCAGTGTGGGGAAAAGGGTCTGAAGTGATGTTTCTATTTTAGGCGGCGCACAGAAAGACGGCGCCTAAAGTTTCTACTAAGCAAGCTGCCGCTGGCGGCGGCGGCCCGACGTTGTGCACGAGCTACTCCGTACGCAGTACGCAAACACGAAACGGGCGGAGTTTTGGCGGAACTGATGGAGAGCTCTCTCCTCTTGGCGTCTACACGATTTGTCAATATTCGTACTACCAATACGATATTACTCCTCGTCACAGGCGTTGGAAGCTGCAGTGAAGGGAATATCGAAGAAGAGACAAGAAGATCAATACAAAAGAAAGGGGCGAAAGCCGATTCACCTTCTGCTCTTGGGCTGATGATGTCGTGATAGGTAGTAATACGAACTGCTCGAAAGGCGGACATGGCCGTGCTGAGACATTTT